TGCGCCGGACACGATGTTCGAATTTATGCATGCGACGCGCACATTACATGCCGACAGTGACGAATAGCGAGATATTAACTAACATCCAAACTTCGCTCGTAAATCTTTGATGGCCCGCGGTTATTAGAAAAACGTGTTCTGTCACACGCGATAACTACGAATTTTTATTCCGTGTTGTTTGAATTTGAAATCCGATAAAACCGACTGTGAGAAATGTCTGACGAATTGGACTCCGAGACGTTTCTCGACGGTGTGTGTCTGTGAGAATTCGGCAGAGAAATCACATTCATCGTCGCAGCTTTACTATCTATGGAAAATGCATAAGGATCCGCAGAACGAATTCTTCTTGTGCGCGACAAATCGGTCGTAAACGGCGCTCAAGCTATGCGAATCCCTTCTTCCGAGCTGCTACGTCGGCAATTAGAACGGCGAATCGGCGCGAATAAAATCCCGTCGGCGGCGGTCGGCGAGCTGAGTCCGACGCTTTTCAATTAGACTAGCCCGTCCTCGTATCGGAGAGTCGAATAGCCTCCGTGAGGATAAGGTCGGCGGAGGTCAGCCTGTTAACTCGTAACGCGCGGGTCTGCGCGACCGTCGTCGTAAAACCGGCGCACACGACGCCAGACGTAGAACCGGCGAGTTAATAATGCCATAGGTGGGTAGGAAGCATAAAGCTCTCTCTGTCGTGCGGCTCGTGGAAAGCTCCGAAGGCCGGCGATAAAGCACGGTGACGTGCGCGTCGATTGATGTTCCTTCGACTGTAACACGATGCCAATATGAGAAGCATATCGAGACGTACGTTCCGTTGAATCTTCCTCTCTTCTCCCTTCGGCGAAGCGACATTTTCGCGAAAATCGACGTCTTTCTCACTTCAAGAGGTGGAAGCAAATTTTCGGCGATAACGGAAAGAGAAAGAAAGACAGAGAAGAGGCACTTGTGTGTTTCTTCTAGAAAGACACAAGCTAATTTTCCATTTTGTTTGTCATTGGTCAATCACCCTTTCGTGCGTTTCAACGCGAATGCGCGTCGTTGGACACATTTTTAACACGTTCCCGACTAGAAATTTTTCATCAGGTTCACCTAACATTGATAAGGACCTAATAGGGTGAGTGAAAGGTAATCCTAAGTAAGTCAGTCCTTATAATGTCCTAACGACAAATGAGTAAGGAAGACCTTTATAAGGTTATTGATTATAATGATTGGGTCCACATTAGAATCTTAATGTACCAACCTAGTGTATGATATAATATGGTTCAGTTAATCAGGTCTTTGACTCGGGATCTTATTCATTGTACCTAATATGATTTGCATTATCAAGTTTTAACAAAACAATTTTTCGGTGTCATTTCCAAATATAAAGATGTTTGCATTGAAAAAAACACTTCAGATCACTTGAATATATTTGTAAAATGCTATTAGAAACTATCCTTTTTTTAGCAGTCAATAAATAGTTGTAAAATTAACGTGACATGCAACTTTTCTCTTTAACACTATTGTATGTCTTGTCACATTGTCTTGATACTTTATGATCTTATGATATTCATTTTACGTTTCTTTTCTGAAACATTTTACAAGTATGCTCAAGCGATCTAAAATATTATTTCATTCAAATATCTTTTTATTTGGAGATGACATGAAAGAATTTTCAGCGTGTATATTTCTTCTTTCTAATGTCATCATCCAATATAGCCGTGGCGAGTAATCAGGAGCCATAATTTGAAAAAGAAAATAGTAATAAGGACGTAATAAGGATTCCGTAAGGTAACTCAGTAAGGACCTAACTATGAATCCTTACTAAGGTCCTGATATCCACGCTGCGTTACATGACTTACTAGGACCCGATAATATTACCTTATTGGGACCTGATGTCCAAATGAGGTTAACCTGATCAGGACCATAGGATAAATTTCTAGTCGAGTTGTGCTGATCGCGTAGATTTCCACAGATTATACGAAAGCTCGCCGGAAAGTTGAATCGCCAGAAACAAATGTGACTCGAGCCGCACATTTTTCATCTCGCTCCATTGGTCGTAAATTCGCGGCTTTTCAAGCGCAATTAGTTCGACGTTGTATACGCAACTTAACGAGACGCGCGCTGCTGCCATAGTGTCCATCGCGGCATTCAGCCATTATCCCACTCGTGAAGTTACTCTGGGATGTCCCAGAGACGGCACGGGCCTTGCGCGAGGAGCTTCACGGAGATCTCTCTTTATCTTAGCGACACGCGAATATCACGGTCTCGTCGCACGAGCTTGCTCGAGGTTCTCCGTTTTCCACGGGCCGTCTCATGACGCGAACAGGCGTCTGTGAAACAAGCCGCGGATCTCGTCATTCGACTGAGAGACTTCGGCGAGGACAAAGCAGCCGGGAATTAACGTCAGATGAGAGCGTGAAAGCCTTCGTGGGTGAGCCACGCTCGCGTCCGCTCATTTTCTCTCTCTCGTCGGCCGTTTCCCCACGAGCGTTTCTTATTTTATCATAACCGCCGCGTCGGAGGCGTCTGCGATGACCGCAAGACTGCTTCCCATCGGCGCGCCACGGGTTTCGCGAGTGGCCGGGTATGATTGCGCCTTGTTCGCAATCTTGATCTCGCCCGTGTAAGAAACGCGATGTGCCATCTCGAACGGGGGAGGAGAATAACCTCGATAAAACGATCGCGTCTCTCCGCCCGCGCCGTGAAGGCGCGAAAAGTATGGGAATCTTGTCGCTCGCTTCTTGTTCTCTCCTCGTCGCGCGTGGAAGGTGTCGCGAAAACCCACGTCAATAATTACGAGCGCTAATTACGAGCCCGAATTACGGGAACGTGCGCCTTTTTAGCGATTCATCGTATTCCGCTAATCGCTTATTTACCATTTAAATATTATCGCATTACAGCATGCGCTTCGGCAGCCCGAATGTTTATTGTATTAATTCCCCTCATTTCCGATGAATTTATTCCCGCTGGCGAATCGTTGTTGCATCGTTATTATACGCGACGTACGCGCGCTTTGTGCAAACGCACCAATTTCACGAATTGATTATACGACGGCAGGACTTTCCGCAGTCCGCGTGCGCCGATCGAATTATGATCGCCGCGAACATTGTCATCTGGCTACGTACGCACGTACGGCCACGTATCGATTTCATCGCGATGAAACGATAGCCGCGCGCAGCCCTGCGTCCAAGCGCAGGATAGGTGTCCGGGCATCCTCGATTTCTCAGCCCCGGCGCTGATGAGCAGCCTGCTAATAATTACCGGTCGGCGCGCCGCGCCGCGCCGGCCGTCTCACCGGCGCGGCGTTCCCGCCGCCGTTGAAATCCCATCGCGCCTCTAGAGAACGTTACAGCCGCCGCCACGGGTATTAACTTACGCCTCCGACGACGAAGACGACGACGGAGACGACGAGGACTCGTGACGAAGATCGCGGTTCGCGAATATCCTTTTTATTACCGGGATCAGCGCGCCGGCAAGAGCTGCTCACAATGGCGAGGTGCGGTGAGATATCGGTGAATATGGAGTGTAGGTAAAATCCCGAGGAGCTCATATCAGATGTCGCGTGTGGCATGCGGGAGCGAGAACTTCACTCCGGGGACGCAGCGGAGCTTCTCACTGCCCGCGCTCAGCGCGTGTCCCAAGGACACTTTTTCTGCCACCGCGCGAACGTCGCGATAAAAAGGCGAGTCCGGGGTCGAAAAACCGTCGCGGTTTATTCTGTTTTCGTGCTGCGTGTACGTTTTACGGATGTACGCGGTAAAGCGCGTATACGGGACGCGTATTGAGATAAAGCCGCTGTGAAATACGGGCGCCGCCGCGCAGACAGGCGCAAAGAGGATCGAGCTTATTATTTTCTTTGTACAGCCGTCTACGAGATACCGTAAACTTGCAGCGCAGCGTTTAACGGCATTACCGTACGATCCGTATAAACTTCAAATATTAATATCGTTAATCTCGCTCCGCTTCTTTTGACCCGTCGTGCTGAACGAGCAGCTTGATTCGTCCAGGCGGCCTCTTCCGACATGGCTTTTGAGGCAACTTGAGTCTCTCAAGATTGCACCTTTCGTCCACTCTCGTCTCATCCTCTTGCTGGAATATTTGCGCTTCTTCTTACGTGCTTCATAAACGCGCTCCCTCCTTAAGTATCTAAATATACCTGCGATGTGCGCTCGAGACGGATTTTGTTCCGGAGCTTTCGCCCGAATATAAATAATCCGTTAAGGGGGGAATTAGGTGCAGCCCAGGCCATTTTCAAGGCTGTTTTTACGAATTTCTTTAACAGAAACGGTAGGACCAATGGACTAGAAATTTTCACCGTGTATTAATGTGTATTCAAAATATAAATTAAATTTGTTACTATCTACGTGGAAATCTGTATGGAAAGTATAACATAAAACTTTAAACGCGTTTGTCTGGAAACGTCATTTTCTTAAACTATCGACACGATTACGCAAAAACTACTGAACCGAATAACCCGAAATTTTTGCGCAATATACAGTAGACACGTAGTTTTCGCTCCTACCTCGAATACAGTTATATTTTATTTTATTCATTTTTTTAAACGTTTTTTTTTAAACGTAAAAAGATTACAAGTTGAAAAAAGTTCCATTTTCAATATTTTTTTTTGTACAGTCATTATTTTTCCAATCTGGGCTTCACTTCCTTCATTTTGGTACGGGCTATAACGGCAATCGTATGTTTTAAAAATCTTTCTCACTTTTTGGTTTCAGAGTAGTGAGAGACCCGGAATTATGTCGACATTTTTACCTATAATTACAAATTGGATCGGGGTTCTTGCGATTCAATAAAATTTATTTTATACTTTGCGCATTAATGAGTACACTGTGAACATTTCAAGTCCATTGATCTTACCGTTTCTGTTGAAAAAATTCGTAAAAATAACCTCGAAAACGGCCTTCCGCGTGTAATTCCTCCCTCAGCGACAAGTAGTAATAATTTTCGCCACGCTCTCATAAAGCCACGATTGTGCCCGCTAACGCCCGCGTATGATTCCGCGAATGTTTCAGACCGCGTTACACACCGGAGCCGGCAGCCAGCAGCAGCAGCAGCAGCAGCAGCAGCAGCAGCAGTTATTGGAGCCGAGAATGGCGCAATTGGAGACCTTGGAGGCCAAGGTAATACGAAAGACCCTCAAAGGCCGCGCAATCTCCCGGCGAAATTCCCGGGAAGTTGACTAGTCGCGCCTCTCGCGGTATTACCGTCGCGCCGCGAGAGATTCGGTTCGGGCCCAGGTAGTGCTGCGCGGCGCGCGAGGAATGTGCGCGATAGGAAGTCATCCCGCGTCCGCGTGCCTCTTCCTCCCTCTCCGTCCTGCGCTTTTTCAGGGATTCTTTTTTACTCTCTTTCTCTCCCCCGAACCTGCTCTCTCTCTCTCTCTCTCTCTCTCTCTCTCTCTCTCTCTCTCTCTCTCTCTCTCTCTCTCTCCCTCTCTCTCTCTCTCTCTCTCTCTCTCTCCTTGCTCGGCTGGCTGGCTGGCTGGCGGAACGCGCCGCGGCCGTATGGGAGCCGATTTTAGTGGTACCCTCGGAAGAAACCGAAGGCGATGTTTCGCGGTTATTGGCGGGTCCGCGTTATAGCCCGCCGGCTTCTTAAGCCTGTCCGACCGGTGATTTATATGCAGATGCGTGAGCCGAAACTCCGTTTCGTCCGGGGGTCCTCGGCGGGTCCTCCGGGCTCTTGAGATAGGGCGGGCGGGGGAGATGGGCAAGGAAACCGGGCCCTTGTGGGCCTCACGAGTGTACCATTAAAATTGCCCCGGCGCTCGTCCGCTCGTTCACTCGTTCGCTCGCTCGCGCGCGGATGTCCAGTGTCCAGTGGCGCAGGATCATCGCGCCAGCTCGCAGGATCATCGCGAGATTTTTTGCGGCCAGACGCGAGACTCTCTCTCTCTCTCTCTCTCTCTCTCTCTCTCTCCTTCTCGCTCTTTCCTTCCCCTTCCTTCTCGGCCGCGTTTTTCGACAACCACCGGCTTCCACCTTTTTGCGCCGTTTAAGTCGTCGGATTCCGCGCGGCTGATTGCAGGCGAGCGAGACAGAAAGAGAGAGAGAGAGAGATCCTCGGGAGGAGGCTGAAATTGAAAATTATGCGAGCCGCGACGCGCCATTAACTCGCCGCTCGTTCGACGCGACTCTCCCGCGAACTGTCGTCTAGCGAATCACCGCGCGGCGTGCTCTCCTCTCTCATCAGCCCTGGCGATTTCGCGAGCGAAGGGCGAGAGACGGGCGTTTCCGAAAAGTCGTTTGATCTCGCGTGCGCGCGCTCCTACAGAAATCCGACATTTTAGGGAAGGAACTGCGGCACTGCACGGACGTCGTCGCGAGAAAGCTCCTTGGACTTGGTAAATCGCAGGTTGTCGCCGAGGGGATGGTGCTCGGAGGCGCGCGCCAGAGCAAATATTTGCGAGCGGGAACGAAGTCGCGCGTCGTCGGGCCGACTAATTTATCCGACAAGCGCGATAACCGCGAGCACACGAGCGGGAGTTATCGATTGCGTTTCCGTTTAATAGCAGCGTTGCCATGACGTAGCGCCGTGTGTAGTTCGCTAATAAATGGCCGCGCTACTTGTAGTTAAGCGCAGCCTTAATTATCCCTCGCAGAAGGATCCTCGCAGCCACACCTCGATCGCCATGGGCGCAGCGGTAGTTGAAATAATACTGTGCGCTAATTAGCATAAGTACAATCGCCCTGGTCGTGTAATAGAACGTAATACGACGTTATCAATCACGTCTCGTTCCAGCAAGTATAAATCGCCATCGAGCGTTTCAATCGTTCTACCGCTTTATCAAACGGCGATGATATCGTTCAATGAGGTACATGTGAGGTACACACATGCGCGCATGTGTTCACCGATATTCATGCGCGCGCGATATAATTCGCGAATGAGACGGCCGTCGGATATTTTTATTTCGCGATCGATCGCAACCGATAATTATCGGCAGCTCTCCAGTGCTCCCGCTTCCTGCGAGCGCACGGATACGTGCAATTAAATCCTCAAATATAAAGAAGTGCATCTTTGTCGCGTGATATATGGGTGGCTGTTTTATTCGCCGCGATGAACGCGAGGGTCGGATTTATCGTCCGGCTCCGGAGGATCAATACTGAAAAGAGATTCCTCGTAATAACGGACGCGTCGACACAGATTGATCGATGTATCTGCGTTTTCGACGTATCTGCTCAGTTCGGTACCACCGAAAATCTACGCGACGCGCTTGCGGTCGCGCATTGCATCTACATTTCGACAATCATTTATTGATGAATCACGTCGGGAGGTGTGAAACAGTGGCGCACGAAAGAACGGCCGATATTTATCGGCCATATACTTTTACCAGCGTTCACGCGATCCTGTCTATTTGATAATAGTAATAAATATTTGCTCTCATTGGCGCGGTCGGTAAGGTAAATGTCCCAGTAATCGGACGGTTAAACGTAGGTCGTCACAAAAAGTACAATATATAATATTAAAAATAGTTTTGATATAAATATTTGCATTTATTCGAAAACTTAAGATTTCCTTAAGTAGAGAAAAATGATTTAAACCAATGGGACGAGAGTAGTCCCAGAAGTACCTGACCTAACAAAGAAAACGCAAAAAAATTTGGGAAAAATATCTTTATTTCTCTACATAGTCTCCTCATAGCTCAATACACTTTTCCCAGCGGTGTTCAATAGCTTCGATACCCTGTTTATAGTGGGAAAATCGTCGAGCTCCTCAAAATGGCCATCAAGCCACCTTGGTCCATTGTTTTGACTGTTCCTTCGTCTCAGGTGTGAAGTGATGGACCCATGTTTCATCCATGTTTATGAATCGACGCAAAAACTCGGCTTTATTGCTGCGAAACTTCGCCAAACACTCGACTGAAACATCCTCACGACGCTGTTTTTGCTCCAATCGCGGCACCCATCTTGCGCATAGCTTTCTCATGTCCAAATTTTCAGTCAATATGCGATGTACTTTTTGAAATGCACTTTTTGAAATGCCTACCATGTTTGCTAACTCGCGCACTTTCAGTCGACGGTCATCCAATACCATTTTGTGGATTTTCTTCACCATTTCTGGCGTGGTCACCTCATTTGGTCGACCACTGCGATGTTCGTCTTGGCAGCTCGTACGGCCTCGTTTAAACTCTGCCACCCAATATTTTACTGTTGTAAACGAAGGAACAAACTCCTCCAGAGTAGAATCTAGCTCCTCTTTGATATTGGTTGGACTGAGGCCTTTCAAATGAAAGTATTGTATCACATAACGATGACCAATTTTTTCCATGTTTACAAATTCACTGAGAGCGTTCACTATTGATGGCTGCCAAACAAATACTAAACAACGTAGCGTCGTCAAACTTCAAACTTAAGCTTTATTTAAGGTTGGTATTTTCTACCATAGTCATTCTTTTCAAACAACAACCACCATCTATACGTCAGAGATCAGGTACTTCTGGGACTACCCTCGTATATATCTATTATTATTACTATTATTATTATTATTATTATTATTATTTAATTAATTTTTATTTAAAAAAATTTTTATTACAAAAGTACCAAATTGGGTACATTTTTCTCCAACTAATCATCAAATATTGGAGCTTATTTTTCAATATTATATATAATTATTACTTTCATTCATATTGTTAAAATAAATAGTAAATATTAGTATTAATAGTAAATAGTAAATTTGTTTTCAAAGTGATCGGATACTGGGATGTGCCCGGCCATTACGTTTACCTTAGTAAACGTCTTTGACGAAGAGAGAATACGCTCGCTTGCGACTCGGTAAGAGACGAGAATTGCGCGCGCTCTCCTGGGAGGGAAGGATAATCCGGCCGGCTCTCGGTTTTAATTTATAGCTGCACCTTGTGATATCCGTAATCGCGTTGCGTATCTGCTCCGTAATCTTACCCCGATACACGGGTGTTTCTAATCTCGGCCTTCGGCACGTTGCTCGCGACGTTAACTCGGAACGACGAGAGACGCGGCGAGTCCTCGTCATTTGCGCCCGCGATGCACACGCACGCACACAGACTGCCGTCGCTGTGCGTGTATCGAGAATTGTATTTTGATAAATGCGTATCCGCCGGTCATTATTTATCATTCGTTCGCGCTAGGCCCTTCGCGCATTGCGAGTGGATCCATCGGAACCCGAACAACGGACACGCCCCGTACCACCGCGAGAGAAGACGTTCGTCGAGAGAGAGAGAGAGAGAGAGAGAGAGAGAGAGAGAGAGAGAGAGAGAGAGAGAGACCGAGCGATCCGGTTTCCTAACCGGCGTCGTTAAGAGGCCCACGTCGGCCATATTTCCAGCCGCTCGTTGCACAATTCGACATCGATCGATCCGCGCGAGCGTCCAGTCGCGGAAACGTCGCGGAAAGATCTCGGTGATTGTCATTTTCTCGGCTCGCGTCGGGATGGCGACGGCCGATTCGACGTTCTCTTGCGACAGAGAGGACGCAGAGCGACATAAATACTCCTCGGCCGGCAAATTGCACAAACGAGCACTCAGGAGCAAAGGGATAGAGATCGAAGGGCCGAACGTAATCTCCTCGCGCCGTCTGAAATTTCGAATGTCCGGGTCGCGGATGTCGAATTCGCAGTCCACTCTCGTGGCTTCCGATAAGGCGATAACGAGAGTGCATTTACAGCAGTCTCGATTCTCGAAGGATGATCTTTGACTCGGGCGCGGTGTTCGTAACGCAAACGGGTTTGCTCGTTTTAGAAGGATAAGGAGGAAGAGAGAGAAAGAGAGAGAGAGAGAGAGAGAGAGGTAGAGAACTCTTATTCTCGAGGAGCTTCCGACTTCTCCGATATGATATCTATCGCGATATATTCACGCTCGAGCGGATCTCCGCAACATTGCATTTTGCTTTCACGAGGTGAAGGAGGCGAGGAAAGAAGAGGCGAGAGGCACGCTGCGCGCGCGCGCGCGCACACACACACACACACACACACACAAGAGGCTCGATATGAATAATGAAGAAGGACGTCGACTCGAAGAGAGGAGGAGGTTGCATCAACGTCGCCGGCGAGAATCCTTGCCAGGAGCCGAGGACGCTCTTAAGGCGGTTGATCCCCGCCGAGCAAAGGGAAAGGAAAGATCTTTTATCCGGATTCTCGCGTGTGCGCG